ATTATTCTACTCCTTTGCGTTACTTCCGGATTGTATTCCGTCTCAAATTGTTCGTCTCTTTTGTCACTGACAATTTTTATACTCTACTACTCAAACAACTCGTATGATAACCTTCTTGTTTCTTTTATATGTGTGGTTTATCAAACTCTTTCCTTTTTAAACATTTACTGCTTTGATTTCCTTTTCAACTTCGTTTTCTCATAGCTCTCAGACACAGGTATAGAATTACCTTCGACATTTATTTATAAAGCTCCAATGTTTCTTTTCGAATTATCTTTTTCTCAAAATGAAATGTATCCCCTTTCATATCCATTTGAGAATCTGGCAATTCTAAATTCAAATAAATATTCATTCAGTTTCCCTGTCTTCCATTTTCAACGATTCCCTTTTCATTGACAACAACGTCAAAATGTCTGATATCTAAGCACAATGCAAAGGAGTTCTGAGCGAAATGAATCTTCTCCAAACGAAAAGGCAGATGAATAAATATGCTGAATAGCAGTTTTATGAGGTGTACATTGGATACTTCTTTTATTACACGCCATTGTGTGACACCCCATAAAAGGTAAACTTCAAGGCAAACGGACTGTTCACTCAAGAAAGTCAATAAGCTAAACTTTGGGACTTGGAGAGGCAAACCACATAAGGCTTCACCATAAAAGGTGTGGTATTGATCGGACGATAGGAAAACTGCTTGCGATCAGAGTTAGGTGTCCATGGTGGGGTTCAAAACCCGGACCCCAGAGCCCAAAGCAAGCCGGTGACAGTGTCCCACATAGCTCGACCCCCACCATCACCACGAGATTTGACTTTTAAGTTAGGAATTCAGGATGAAAAGAAGGACAAATGAACAGAGAAAATCCTCACCTGAAGAAGAGTTTGTGTGTATGTGAGATTCTCTTCCAACAGCTGATTACCGTCCCTAAATGTTTGTAACTCTTCTGCGAAATTCCTTGCAATAGTAGATTTTTCTGTTTCCAATTGTTTCAACTCTTCCTGCATGTCTCGGAATGTCTAGATTGGGAAAGGCGGGAAGTGTTTTTTGCTTGTTTCTTTCAATTTCATTCAACAGACTAAGTAAACGATCATCCGGACACACCAATAACTGCGCAATAGCGAATTCATTCACGACAATGAGTATAACTGGTAACTAGAGGTCGTTATGACAGTTTAGTTGTTATCTAGCTGGTCCTAGCAAACCCCGGTTGGATGACAGTGAAGTATACATGTATTTGTGTCAGATCAATTCGCTGATTGTTTTGAACAAAGTCACACCGTTTTATTTTTGAATGGATAATACGGATGATACATGCGAGATATTTTTATCTTCTTGATTGCACGTGAAATGATCCAATGCAACAATGACCGAAACATGCACCGTAGATGAACGTATTTAAGGTCATTGATTGACTCATTAGGACCAAATGGACATGTAGGTGGATTGGCTCGTAAAATAAGGATAACCGGTCACTAAACAGTAAATATAAAAGATCACCGTTACATTACATTTTTTGAATGTTTACTAGTGAACTCAATTGAAAAAATTCTTCAATAAGCTTAGAGCATCGTCACCAAATATCTATGTTTTCTGTCGCTCTGGACGTGAGCAATTGAAACATTCCGTATGGGGCTTTATACTATTCTTGTAACTTCGCAAGATGGAGCCGGGATGAGGATAGTTCTTTATTATGAATAACGGAAAAGGTAGCGGTAAATTTATATACATACATACATACAACAAGAAGTCTCATTCGGAACGACTCTTCAAAATTACCGCACGCGCACAGAGTAGTTAATGACACTGTCCATTAGTGCAAGCGTACCCCAGCAGTTAACATACTGAACACAGCAATTCACTCTAACAGGTCTTGTCCATTTTTGACCGCTGAAATAAACCGCCAATCGCATCCTCATGCGTGCTACTCACAAACATGAGTAGCACCTCGCAACATTATAAATACATCCGTTCTGAATTTGGTTGTGATATTGTGAGAAATTTGTTCAAAAGAGTGAGTTTTTCATGTTACTGAAGCCTGTCAACCGTTTCACATCCCACGATACAGCTTTTGATCCCTAAGGAAATCATTAGTTTCAACCAAACCCCGGTTATTGTGTCCACTCAAACATGAAAAACTATCACCAAACGAGAAGAAAGCGCTAGCAAGCCGGATACTAGAAAACGACCAGGGAAGTTGATCACAAACATCAACCGACAGCGGTTTAATGCAATATCAAGTCCTACGTACCTTTTCTCGTTCAAGAATATCCGTCTCATGTTGCGCTCTCAGTTTCTCCAAATTTTCACGTAGTTCAGAGTTCCTGAAGTAAGCGAAATAATGACAAGGAGGAATTGGTTGGCTGATGGTAGTGCCTGACAGAAAACATTTAACCCATAGCACACCGTATAAATAAGTCCCAAATAGGAGTAAACTATTTGTTTTGACAGCGTGAAAGTAACGTTCAATTTCAAGTGTTTATGTACTTCGGAGACGCAAATTGTGCCATCTTTGATTCCAATAAAAATCACCGTAACAACTTCACGCTTCTCATTTTGACCTATATTGCATTTAACATATTTGAGTCATATGGAACAAATAGCATTAAGCTCATCTGCGTTTGGATGCCTACGTCGTCACAGGAACGGCCTTTAGTCGGTTGCAACTTCTTGCTTCAAGTTAAATTTTATATTTCTTTAAAAACGCGCCATTGACCTGATTACTCTTGTAAATGGGAACATGAACTGACTTTTCAATGTTACCGAAAATTCTGAAGAGAGGGAAGTGGATTTCAAAGCCAAGGCAGTAAATTGTCCTTTTATACAATGAATGAGTCAGCTGCGAAAATACAAAGCATAAAACCTCACTAAATAAACGATTCGTCAAATTAACCTCAAGTCTCGAAACAGTTTGAGAAGTACTACACGGGCTGCGTTATTGCATTCCCCGGAGCCAGTTACGGCGTTGCGCAGAAAACTGTCAATTGATTAAAAGCATAAATTCGAAATGGAATGTCTCGGAATCCCCACGAAATAACTTGTCGGTGATGACGTTCTCAACCAGAGGAGGGTAAAAAGGTGAAACCTACTACAGATAAAATTAGGAATTTCAACGTGTTCCGTTACTGAAAATCCACGATTCATTGATTTACGCAAGGAATCAATCTATTGTACCAAATCAATGATTGACTGATTGCTTTCTGACTGAATTTTTCTACCCGAAAATGAGAACAATCACGAGTGTTTTTATGCCTGTGTTTGTTATTTCGTTTTTTACATTTCTCATTGACAGATCATTTTACATTTTCATGAATCAGTTTATGATTGACAGACCAAAATTATATTGATTTTGGTGAAGTTACTTTGTGAGATTCTATGTGTATATATATTGTAAATCCCAAGTAATTCGTAAGTAGATTATACAGGGAGTGTACTAATATTGGGTTGCATGTTCAACAAATACTAAAACCTCTTTAACCCTGTGGAGAAACCTAGAACCCTATAGGAATACCGAGGTGCAGAGATTAAAATGGTCGGGTTTAGTGATGCACAATACTATACCAACCACCCGCATGGAAACCAGCAGCCAACTCACAGCTGGAGTCTAGCGGATGGATTCTGTATTGATAAGTGTGGGAACCTGTTTGCGTCTTCCAGATACTAGGGAGACAAACAAGACGGAAATTTTGTGGGTTCAAACACTCGATAACTAAACCACAGCACGTTTTGAATGAGAGCAAATTCGATTAGAAATTAGTCGGTGTGACTGCTTTACAAGGATGCTCATCGATATTTTTTACTCTCTTAAGAAGTGAATGACGCTTTGATCGACGCATGCCAAAACAAATGCTAGAACGATGGTGCACCAGCACATCCGTCAACCGACACCGCATGAAATTTGATGGAGATAGATGGATGAAAAAATTATCGATCAAAAAACCTATCGACTAAGGCATTTTATTTTCATCATCAATATTATTTGTTTGTGGGATTTCACTGGCCCAAGTAAACGGAAAACCGCAATTATGTATCAACATTCCAACGGCCTGAGCAGACGGGAGGTGGAAACTGGATTCCAGTAATCGTTCGGAATCCTGTGGGGTACTGTCGCCAAAAATAATGCTTTTAAAAATCCGTAGATACATGTTAGATCGAAGACAGATACGACCATCCAAACTTCAGAAGGCAGAAAACAATAAGTGATGTGTCCTTAAGTGTACAGATGCACTCCGGGGTGAGGAACTTTCTCGTCCATATATACTATATATGTAGGCAGATATATATAAAGGCGGAACACTGCTTTTCTCTACAATTATTTACAGCGCATACCACCGGTTGGGGGAAGAACTTGTGTCTACCAGCAACATGATGCCGTGCTAATTGGTTTTCTCTAGTATTCGCTTAGTGATATCTTTACTAAAATATCGCGTTCCAGAGAGTTGTCCTGATTGCTCCTTCGATCACAAAAATAAACTAGACACCGTGCGATATCGGATCGATTTCGCCCATTCCATGTATAGGGTATCAAAGGAATCGAAAAATTAAATGCTGAAAAGTCAAAATTGCGTGCAGTAACCAAAAACTGATTTTTACCCCACCTCCACTTCAAAGTATGTAGGAAAACGAAAATGTTTTGCTTCGTTACAAATTACATCGTCGTCTACCGCGTGCGTTCGCTACAAAGACCAGATGGAAAGAACTAGCGCCTGCTAATTATCAGTGGCGTAATACCTAGCCAACACCAATGATTGATCTCGCAGTTAGTCTATTGTTTTGTTAAAGTTGTCTGTATAACCACATGTTCATGCATTATTTATGACGTTTAAGCTTTTCTGGCAGTCAATGAACAATCACTTTCATTAAGTGTAACACAATCATTACTTGACTCGAATTGAATCGATAAGGAAAAAATGCAATTTATACTTGAAACTGAGGATACCAGAGGCTTAAACTTTGAATTCACATACTGAAAAACCATGTTCGGTTAAAATTAACCATTGACGTACGGACACGTTCATGCATATAGTAGTGGTGCAGAAAGCAAACAAAGGTAGTGCCAAGATATGGCAGAGTTGCTTTCAAATGAAAGACTAATGGAAATTGCGAAATTGATACAAACCGCAGCACGTGACCTCACTGTCAAATATGTTCGGTCATGATGTCTGTCTCACGTGCAACTCAGCCGCATAATTATCATGTTTACAGATTCCACCACTGCTTCCCTGTTTCTCCAATCCAATTTTGTCCTTTGACAATCTTATGCTTGATGGCTTTCACCTTACCAAAAGTCGACTTAATAGCTTCAGCTTCAGTAAAAATAAATGTGATAAAGAAAATCAAATACGGATTAGTTCCGCAACCACAGCCGACAGTATTGTGGCTCGACGAATCTTCGGATCAGTGCTAGTAAAGTAATGCGTTATTTTTGGACGAGTAAGTAGTTCAGCCATTTCACATAAAGCCATCGTCCAATTTTGACTCACTTGATCAATGTCATACAGTGGGAAGAATTTCATAAGTAAACGGTCAAGGGATAATGTGAGCATACGATAACCGACAAGCTCAATATGGATAGCAGACTCAATTTTCTGTCAAGAAAAAAACTCACTCCAAAATCACTCGACTGAGAAGAGTAGTTTGCTCCAGATCCATTGTTTTCTCCCCATTGTCAGTTTGTGGAAGCTCCGTGGTCGTCATAAGGGCTGAAGAAGCAGTGTATGATGAACGTTCAGAATAAACCTGAAAATAAAACAAAATAAAACTCGGAAGAATAGAGTTTTATGCCAACGAGTTTGTCCCCAGGTCGTGGACTGGGAACTGACACCAATTTGCAGCTAATTATGAAAAAGATCGGCTTAAGCTCATTAAATAAGCTGTTGTAGGTGGTCAGCAGCAGGGCTCACGATTATAGCGGGTTGACCACTAGGCAAGGGAGACTACACGAAACACCACGTACATCTGTGACCACCTGTTTTGGTGGGTGGCTTAAGCGAAACAACGCTGCTCTCTTACAGCTTGTACTTGGTTTCGCAAAGGCTCGAGATAATATCGACTTATGACTAACTAACGTGGGCTAGAGTAGCTTTGACATCCAGCTATGACACCATAATATCCAACTTTCCCGTGATTCGTAGCATTTTACTTGAAGGTTACGACACCTGGAACCTCCGTGGAGAGAATGCTAAATTACTTACTGCTACTACCTGTCTTTGAAGAATAGCCCGTGTACGAAGGGAATATCAGATGAGCACTGACAAGGTTTGCTGTTGTGTGTTGTGTACTAACAGTCGCTCTCTAGAAGAAGCAATCGTCTTACAAAGCCTCCGAGGACTGGGGCATGTTTTGCTTATGTTCGCCCATCGTCTATTTTGCCGTACTCTCTGCACTTGCTGGGTAAGGCTGGAAGAAGCGAGGCTGTGGTCAGACCACGACCAGATTATAGGGTATACAGAAGTATTGCGTTTGGTTGGTGCCGCCCGCCCCCCCCCCCTACCAGGTTCATGCCCAA